AACGTTTATTATAAAAACTGCGGTTTCGTTATTATTTTAAAAACAGTAAATTAAAGTTCTTTTTTAACGACGGATCGCTACTTCGAGGTTTTAAAATACGTAAAATACTTTTTTTTCGGTTTTATTTTTTAAAAAGAACTTTTTAAACTATTTACTATATTCGTTAGAAGCTATAAATATATATTATTATCTATTTAAAAAGGGCTCGAAATAAAAGAGATTTTAATATATTTAGTATTATAATTATAAAATACGTTTTAAAAGCGGTCCTCTTAAAATTATTAATTTAGTTTTAAATATTATATAAGCTTCGTATTTAATTTATATTAAAGGCTTAATATATACTCTACGAGTTTTATATAGAAGTTAATAAAAGGTATTAAGTTTTAAATAACCGGTTTTAAAATACTATAGAAGTGTATTATTAGATCTTTTACGAGTACGTTAGTACGAGTAATAGAACTTTTTATAACTAATTAATAATATAATACTAGCTAAGCTCTTAAAAATATAGTTAAGGGCTATAATAAAAAGATAAGATTAAAAGAGCTTATATTTAAAAAAGACTAAGTTATTTTTTTAAATTAATTACTTTTTAACGGTATTTATATAAAGCGTTTTTTATTATAAAATATAATTTAAATTATAATATTAGAGTGCGCTTTTATTTAGAAAAGTCTTTAAAACTATATTTATATAGAAGCCCTCGATATAAGCGACGTTTTAAAGCTTTAGATTATATATTCCCTCCCCTTTAAGTTTATTTAAAACGCCCTTTATAATCCGAGTCCTATATATAATAACGGGTAATATAATAGTTTTTAATTTAATATAATTATTATTACCTAATAATATATAGCTTTTAAATTTTAATAAGCTTTTATTATTAACTAAGTATATCGCCCCGTAGCTATTTATTATTATACTTTAGGATAAAAAATAAGCGCTATTTATAAGGGTATTAAAAATTATGTTTAATTCTATTTCTTAACCTTTAATAAATATAGCGACTATATAGCCCTCGTTTTAATTTATTAATAAGCTCGTTATAGGCTAATTAAAGGATCCTTTTAAAAGCCGAGGCTTTTTAAGGGTTCTATCGTCTTTTAGTTAACTAACTTTCTTAAACTTATTATAAAATAATTTCTATTTATTTAATTTAATTACAATAAGGACCTCCTCTATATAGCTATTAAATATTCGTATTAAAGACCTATTAATATTATAATTTATAAATACTTATTTTAATTTTTAATATACTAAAAGCCGCTAGTAGTATACGTAATTATATAAATATATAACGTCCCTTTTATTATTTACGTCTTTATATAAATTAAAACGCCCTAAAAAAATAGAATAAGCCCCTTTTTAATTTAAAGGCCATTTTATATATACTTCCTAGGTTATTAAACTAAACGTATATATAATCTCTTTAAGGGTTTTAATATACGTCCTAAAAGTAATTAATTTATAAAAAGCGTTATAAGTTCGTTAACCCTATATAAAGTTAAGCTTAGACTTAACTATTTTTAAAAAGTTAATTATAGCGATCTCTTTTTAAATTTCTAAAATATTATATATTTTTATTTAGAAATAAATAAACTACTACTCCTCGTATTAGCGTTAAGTATTAACTCCGTTCTTTATTTTATTAAAGACTTATCTATATTCTTATTAAACTATATTCTTAATTATAACTTTAAAAGGTATTAAATCCTATTTTAATTACTAAACGATCCATTAAATACTAAACTTAACGCCTTTTTAAATTATTTTTTAAAATACGTATTTATAAAGAGTAGCGGTAATCAACTTTTTTAATTATTAAATAAAGAGTTTAATATACGTATTAATATTATTATATTTAGGAGCTATAATTTAATAGTACTTAGCGGAGAGCTCCTATTTTTTTTAAATATTTTCGAATATATAGATCTTTTTTATAAATATAGTATAAGGATATATTTAGTTACGTAAAGTTAGTAATATAACTAGTTTTATAAAAAGAACTCTAACTAGATTTTATAAATTATTTATATTTAAAAATATTAAAAGGGTCGTATTAAGAGTTAAGGCTAAAAATTATTAATAAAAGATCTTTTATTCTCGTTAATCGTTTTTAAATGCTTTATAATAAATTTCGTAAGCTCGTTACTCTTTTTTATTATAAATTAAAAATAATAGTTTAAAGTTTAATAATAAAAAGAATATTATAAAGGGAGCGAGGAATATATTAGAGTTTAGAACGTCTAGATCGACGTATTTTTAAATTTCGAGGCCTTTATTTATAAAGCAAAAAGTTTAGAACTATTTAATTTAACTATTACGGCTACTTAATTTAGCTTAACTAAAGGTTAATATAAAAATATTTATTATTTTAAAAAGATAATAAAAATTATATTAATAAATACGTTATCGTATTTTAAAGTCTTAATTAAGAGCTAGGTTTATTATTATTATGAGTTATAATATATAGTAATAAATATACGGAGTATAATAAAGTAGCCTAATTTATTAAAATAAAAATAAATAAAAGAGAAAGGTCTATATATAGGATATAAGTGAGATATACGTAATATAGTACGTAATAGGCACTTTGTGGATTGCGGTCCCTATCCTTGTTACGTGACAGTACCTCTCGTATGAGCCTATAACGTGATTAGCAAAGCCTTCCTATAAAGGCGTGGCCTCTGCTTTACCTCATCCAAATATACCAAGCATTTGCTGAGGTCATCGGCGTATGGAGAGGCGAGGAGCGGCGTCTTTCTGCCACTTCGCTGGATGATCCAAGGCTTGTTGCTTTGGTCAAAGAACAGAGCCGCGGCAGCTTTTCCGTCGACCATCAACCACTGCTTTGCCAGGGTCTCGTTGTCCATCTCCAGGATTTGGGCGCCAACATCAATCAAAATTCTAATGCCGCGACGATGAAGCTCTCTCAACAGATCGGGCTCGGATGCACGCACCCCATGGGGTCCGACAATCCTGTGGCACTCTCGAGACCGGTCATGCAGTAGGTATGTGAGAACTTCTGCATTGGTGTGTGAAAGTCCAGGAAGATCGTCTTGCGTGATGGTAAGCGGAAGCATTGTACGATTATCGTTTGTGCCACTGAACCCGGTTGTCATAGCCGATGCCGAAGCTGCGTGTCTCTGTCCTGCTGGCTTTGCCTGTGTTGACTGACCGGTTTCGTGAATTGAGAAAAGAGGGATATCCCACCCATTTGACTGAAGCTTGACCTTGAACTGCTTTGCATGCTGAGGAAAAACGAAGTTGTTCATGAAGTAATCAATAGCTGCAATATTGTACCGCAGAGCTTTCCATATCTCACCAAGTTGCTGACCATCGTCGACATTGATCGAGTTCCAGGCTTTAAGGTGGTCGGGGAATCTTGCACTGCTTCGAGTCCACTTATCGTATTCAGATGTTGGACCATCGGACTTGAGAAGATGCTCGAGGGATTGGGTCAGTTGGGCGATGCTGATGCCGTCGTAGTAAAATGCCAGACATGACAATATGTCACGTAACAAGGATAGGGACCGCAACCCACAAAGTGCCTGTCACGTGCTGTATCACGTGTATTTCACTTACATCCTGTATATAGACCTTTCTCTTTTGTCTATTTCACTTTGATAGGTTAAGCCACTTTACCACACTCCGTATGCCCATTGCTGTGTGCCATAACTCGTGACAGAATAAGATGGCGACATCTGGGTGTCCCCACTCAGACTGCTCACTCGGGACGCCTTTGGCGTGGTAAGGCACCGCAATGGGGTCTCGGAGGGGATGTAGTCCATACTGCACGTTCCATCTCTTCTTCAGAGTCATCATTAAGATGCGGTTGACCAAGATACCTCGAAGCAGATAAATAGTCTGCTTGACGCTTGGTCGGTCCGGGCACAGATGACGGATACGCTGGAGAGTTCCATCTCGGGGTCTTTCATTGAACAAAAACTCCCTAACAGCAAGTCGGTCGGCACCGTCGAGGTTCTGCAACTGGAGAATCCCGGCATCACCTCGTAGCACATCTGAAGTAAGAAGCTTGACAAGAGCCTCCTCGACGTCCGTTCGTAAGAAGAAGAGCAATGGAAAGCCTCCCTCCGACCGTCGAATGACTTCTATCGAGTTCGGAAACTGGTGGGCGAGGGCGTACAGATGTCTGTCAACGAGTCGTAAGAGGTCTTGCGCCACTTGCCAACAATGAGGATGCCCATCGACAGTCATCTGTGAGCCGGAAGGATAGATGAGCTGCGTCCTTACAGCCAATGTGTAATCAGACTCGTCCAAAATGTCGCGGCATCGAGTGCGGAGCCACGACTGGACGTTGATCATTGGCCCAGCTTCCGGCATCCTATTGTCCACCATCCGCTGCAGGCCGCTCAACACGAAAGACAGGTTGTGCTCCGGCTGGCATACAATCACCCCGGCTTGCTTCATTATAGTTCTATGCACTCTGTGGTATGCTCGAACGAGGTTTTCCTCTGTAGGGGTTCGACGAGAGAACGGAATGTGTCGGACTTGTCGATCGAGAAGACCGCCGAGTCGTGCCTGAAGGAGCTGGGCCGTTTGCAGCAAAAGAGCTTTGGGAACAACTACCCTTACAAGGTTTTGGGTATTTGCCAGTGCAGCGGCCACCATAGGTATGATGCAAGATGTTTTGCCTGTTCACCATTAGCCATCAGCATCATGAAAGAAGGTGCGTGAGCCGGTTTCTTGGTATAACTAACCTTGCCCCATGTTCATCTGCAAAACAGAATTGCAACCAGAAGCCGGGGATATTGTAGCCAAGGCGACATCAACCTGATCAGGTCGAATCATCAAATTTACTTCGATTTCGAGAAGTAACCAATCGGGATGCTCGGATGGCTGCCAGTTCGAGTGACCCTTGTTTGCCATCTCGTCCGCGTATCTTCCAGCATCGCCACGCATAGTAGCATAGTTGATACGGAGATCTCGCTGAGCGTCTGTGATCGAGATGCCAAAGTCCAGCAATGCCTCGAACACTGAGTTACCGAACTGAACGGGCGTGGCAGTCGACCGTAGCTGTTCCAACAAGGTCACCGTGGTGATCGCAGGCCAAAGCTGACCGGACCTGAGCCAATGTACGCATTCAGCAGAGAGGTTCTCGTCGGGTTTCTCCAGAGCAAAAACAATGGCCTTAAAGCGTTGTTGGGTCGAAAGAATCGATAATGAAACTTCTCGGGAAACAAAATCTGGTGACGTATCGTCTTTGGTGTGTTTCGAGGCATGCCTGGCAACAAAAGCGTTCAAGCTCTTCTCCAGGTCCTCCGCGTATCTCTGGCGTATCAGCGACTTCGAGTTGGACAGGTTAGACACGATCTTCCTTAGTTCAGCATTGGCTCCGGTGGAAGGATGTAGCGTTGTCTTCGCGGACATCCAGCTCGGTGCTAGAACATTGGTCCCAGAACTTCGCATTGTTGAGGATGGAAGCTTGATTGGTTGGCGAATGTGAGCTGGGTGGCGGAGGTGTTCGACAAGCCGGCCGGCCCTAGGGTCAGTGATCTTGACCTTGATGACTTCTTTCAAGTTGGTCGTTCCGCTGTTGTGGAGAGTCGGAATTGTCTTTCTCAACAAGTCGGACCTCAATGAAGGGATCTCACCACCACGTAGCCGGTCTTCAAAGCTCTCCTCCGATGCAATGAAGCACGAGGCCTCGTACTCTGTCTCAGTTCGGTGCTGATCCAGAATAGACTGAACAGTACTCAAGTGTGCACACAGGTCCTTGTTTTGATAGAGGCGCTTCCATTCAACTCGGACCACACCCAAAGCAGCTTTGATGTCGACCAGCAAGGGCTTGGATATGTTTGTAACGCCTGGCTCGATGCAAGGCCACTGCGCAAGTAAGAATTTCGCCAAGAACACGCAATCATCATTGGCCTTGTGATCCCAGGCTGCTTTCTCGTCTCTCATCCGTCGAAGCTGTTTGGCACTGGCAAAACTTTTGAGTTCGTCGCCATCATTCTTGGGGACTGGGGTCTTGAACGGTCCAATTACTTGAATGAGGTTGTCTAGCTGAGGGACTTGATTGGGCTGGAAATCCCGATACTCGACCCAAGCAGGTAGCTCGATAGCTTTCAGTTCGTCGTAAACTGCAAAAGCCGCCAAGGCCTTGACGAGGCTCAGATTGGCTTTTGAGCCGTACGACATGGGTGCCAGCATGAACATCAATGCAAAGGGGGTTTGTTGTTCCCGGCAAGACTTGACTAAGGAGCCCCAGTTTGCCGCAATGTCAATGCCCAGACGGTCGTTCAATGAATTCTTCTCGTAGCTTTCTTGAAAGCCACCGATCAGAATGTTTTGAGAAAGTTGCTGTGCCAAGCACTGCGTCGTCGTTGCCTTTTGTGGCCAAGTTCGGAGAAAGTTGACAATCTCCATAACTTGCAAGTGTCGCAGATTAGAAGATGCCGGGGCATCGCGCGACAGGTACTTGCAGTCGACGGCCTTCGCAATATCTGTGCTGTTATCGTAAGACCGCTCATAGACCTGCCTGCGAAGCCTGGACCGATCATGCAGGTGAGGGTCGCCTGTGGGTGGTAGGACACCGAAATCGACCTTCACGAGTGCAAAGGATTGGAGCTCTGCCGAAATCGACAAAATCTGTTTCACAACGGGCCTGAACATTTCATGCTGTACACCTTCGGTCAAGCTCACGTCCCAGCGATCCATTTTCATGACTTTGAGATCGGTCGGATAATACTCATGCTGTGGAGTGAGCTGCGCGATCTTGAGTAGTACTGTGACCGGTCCACTGTGAAGGGGAGACCAGGGTTGACAGATCCCAGAGTTTAGCCATTGTAATGCCTCTTCAGTGCCAGTCCGTTCAGTGAGAGGGTCCGGGAACGCCGAAGACGTGTATGCGTGTAATTGTGCTTTCATGTAGAGAAGCATCGGCTCTGGAGCTGACTCGATCCGCCCGAGATGTCTGTTGATGACAAATTTGCCATACCTTCCACTGGGAAGCATTCTCACAAGCATGTTGTTATCGATTTGTTTTGCTTCCACTGGACCAATTGGTGTCAATATGCTTCTCTGCTGGATATCGCGTGGGTTCCGCAAAACCAGCTTGCTTTCGAGGCCGTACCATGTGCCTGCATCTTGATCTAAGTCAATCTCAGAGCCCAATTGAGGTGACTCGAGCAAGCGGCGGGCATTGACATAGAAAAGAAGTTGTAGCCGGCGTATCTCTACGCTCAAATGTCCTGTGTGCGGCTGGAACACAAGGAGGTGCATCCGTTCTTCAAAGCCGCTAAAAATGCGAGCGACGCGCTTGAACAAGGGACTATACGTGTCGACAAGCCGAGAGCTTTGGTTCGTGCAGCTGCGATTCTGAATATCGAGTATCCAGTAGTGGTGGCCAATCTTCCATTTGTCGGCATTCGGGATGATGAGTACTTTTCCACTGCGTGGGTCACTTTTTTTTTGATTTGGGAAGTCAGCCGAAGTCCCAATTCGCACATTGTTATCTCAAAACTCACAGCCAGTGAACGCAATCATTCAAAAGAGGGCCGGGCAGATCCCATGCGTCTCGCGATTTGAACTTGCTTCTGTGTATAAACTGGAGGTACTGCTGTCCTTTAGTTGCCCGAATGACAATGGAACTGCTATCGTAACCAATATCGATGCGATACCCACGATGTTTGACAGTCAGTGCTGGTACTCGGGTCAGTCAAAACAATCCCATAGTCTTTTAGAAATGGTGCTCACTGTAGTCCATGCCAGGCATGTCCGAAGGGTGAGTAAGCAAAGCCTGCTCACCGAAAAGTTCCGTGAGGACTTCTGTATGTTCAGGCGGCTTGGGAAGTTTCTATCAATGAGTTAGCCTATCTCATCGCCTGACTTGTAGTCGTCGGATGCGTACTCCAAGGGGACGGTTGTCGACGAGAAGCAACCCAGTGCAAGTGTTGTACTGAACCGTCTGCATGCACTCTTCCCAGCCATCATGGCCTTGTATCTCGCAGATAACCCATTCTGACTTAAGCTGGAGAGAAGAAATCGTACGAGGACGGCCGTCGGCTTCAGGCCATACTGTCATAATTGCGATCCCAAAGGTGTCGGGTGCAGACGCAATAGACTTGCGTACCAGTGATGATAGACGATATGAGAGCTTCATGTCTGAAACAACAGCATGTTGGAGAACTTGAGGCAGTGCGCCGACGTCAACAACCAAGTTGTCCTGGACTGTAATGCAACACTCAATGTACGTCCGCAGCGACAGCGGATCAAGATTTGCAACCTGGTTTGCGTGAATGATGTACGTGCGCTTGCAAAGGACCGCTGCCCAAAGAGCGTACTGTTGACACCTGCGAGCTGTTTCAACATCTCTTGCTCGGAATGTCTCGAACCGCAGCATTTCAACCCATCGCAAGCAAATTTCTCGAGCTCGGATAATGGTTGGAAAACCCTTTGGGTCGGAGTTTGTGGCCGTCAACGC